CATGCTTGGGAGGGTGGAGGGACGGCGCAGGAGGGGAAGACCCTCTATGAGGTGGATTGATTCAGTGACTGGGGTAATCAATATGGGTGTGTCAGAGGCAGTGCGGTTGGCGCAGGGTAGAGCAGGGTTTAGGGCTGTTGTGCATAGGGTCGCTATGAGTCGCAAATGACTCGATGGCACATAACAACAACAACAGGGGTTGGAAGACATTAAGTGGCCTCTTGTTAGTGTAGGACAAAACGTAACTAAATTCAGTCACCTGAAAAACATTTCCCTCATGAGGCAGTCTTCATGGGACTGATTTAACTTTGAAATCCTTTTTTCCATATGTGAATATATTTAAAACCTCTACTCAGTAGTATGTTTTCAATAGAATTGGTTAGATAAGAAACCGGGCAAGACAGAGAATCAAGGAGGCTTCGTTTCATCTGAAAACCAAAAATTTAGCTCTGAATCTCCAGAATATGTTTGAATTGTTACTGCATTTCAGCTCCTCAGCTTGCAACTCCAATAATGTCACTAGCGGTGCTAGAGATGCACCAGGGAGCTGTTACACAGAATTCTGATATCTGATCACACTCAGCCTTCTGAAGCCTCACTCTACAATTTAATAACAGAAATGGTTTGAGGTGCTCAGGCAAGCCTGTAAGTCTCAGTGTTCCTGCATGAGAGAGGGGCAAGTGAAATAACACAGGAGCCTGCAGGCCAGTGCCACAGCTCTGACAGACGACACAGTTCATAGGCGTGCAGCAATCTCCTCAGTGCTACAGTCATCAATAGCATCGACTGGCCTCTACTGCCTGGGACTCTACAGGCCAAGGACCTTCAACCATCATGCTCTTCCAGCATTGAGCTGACTTGGGTGTGGCCTTGAACCGACAATGCAGACTCCAGTGCCAACTGCATCACTTGTATCCATGGCATGGACAGGTTACTTAACCGAATGACTCCTATGTAAATGGAACTGGATTTTGACCCTGCAGCATAGGGAAGGATGCCCAGGCAGACTGTAGCTGCTCTCCTCTAGCACACCTGGGTGGTCTGGTCATCATCTCACCTGGCTGCTGGCAGTGGGTCCCAGCACCTGGTGACCTGTGAGTCACAGAACACAGTGCTACACGGGCTGTACCACCTGCCAGTGTGTGATCTAACAACATTCTTGTTCTCATTCCTGCTCTCATAAGCACCAAAAAGGAAGTAGGAAAAGCCAGGGAAAAGGAAATGAGTGTGAACTGTGTGTCACCATCTTCTGTCTCCAACTTGTGAAGAGAGCACTCTAGAAGTCATCTGAGAAGGCACAGCCACCTCATATTAACACCAAGAAAGCCCTGGCATCGAACAGACACCACTTCCAGGTCTCTAGGGGAGGTTCTCCTGAGGGCTCTGCAGTCCACTGCCTACTTCCACGGGACAGCTCCCTCCTTCCTAGCGACCCAGTGTGCATTCTCCCAGCCTTTTTTTCCCCTTTCTTTCCTCCTAGCCTTTATACACTGTGTTAACTCACTGACTTCTCAAGCCCCTGGACTGTCCTCTTCCTTAGCAGCCTTCAGACTTAGTGTGCTCCTAAGCTCTCCTAATCACCTTACTTGCTAACTTATCCCTCGACTCTCTGCCTGGCCCTGGCCCATCAGGCAAACACACTCTTCCTTTAAGAACAGTTTAAAAGTGATATATGATAGCATATTATGATTATCACAGGAATCCAGATAATTCTGGATAATAATTATAATAATTCTTAATAGGTTGCATAGTGGAGTGCATTTGGGGTGGAGTGGGGGAGGGGGACAGGATTGGGGGGATTATATACCAACGAAGAAGTTTATCTTTTGCTTTTCAAAGAGAGGAGCAAACTGGGGGAAGGGGGTAAAGAAAAAAGTGCAACAATTAATGAATGAAAATCCAAAATATCTGTAAATGTTCATTAAAATGAATAAAATAAAATAAAATAAACCAATCCAGCTTCAATTGCTAAACAAAAAAGAACCTTTAAAGGGTATTTTATTTTCCCTTTACTGGCCACTGTTACTCCCACAGGAGAAAGGGGTCTTTATTAAGCACATGTAGAAACTGAGGCTACAAGAGTTCGGCATCTGACCAAGGTACTTTGCTTGTGAGCAGCTGTGCAAGGACTCCAGGGCACTGGCACTGGGCTGAGCTTCCCAGGCTTGTCACACCACCATTCACAGACATGAGCAAGTATTTGTGAAATGGACAAATGACTGACTTTTGCCCAATCCCTACTCTGTCCTCTAATGGGAAGGTCTTCTGCTCAGCCCGGCTGGTTCTTCCCTGACTCTCCTAACAGGCTCTCAGGAGCTTGGATAAGATTGTTTGAGGACAAATAAGACCCAAGGGAAGGGCTTCCACACTGTCAGCTTACCAAGAGCTGACTCCTCAGTGGTCACCTTCCCATGGAATCCACACCACCCAGTCCCAGTACCCATCACAGGGCTTCTCACCTTGCCTCCCGGATATCCAGCTGGGCCTGTCACCTGAATCCTGCGGCCTGCCACTGGTCTGGAGTCGGCTGTTCACCCCTTCTAGCAGTGTGGCACCACTGGCCTGATTGCCCAGGGCATTTATGTGTGTTGGCAGAGGTTCAAAGGAGGGGTCTAGCTCCAAGATGATCCTGTTGAGCTGCTCAATGGACTGATCAATGTCTAAGGTGGGGGAACCAGGCAAGACGTCAGCATGGTGCTCCAGGTCAACTCCACTGATGGCACTTTGATCTGCAATCCTGGGTTGGAAAGCTTTGTTGGTAAGAGACAGCAATGCCTCTGGGGGACAGGGACCACTGCTTGCACCCCTTTGGATGCTAGCTGCCAGGGAGGGGGTGATCGGTGCTCTGGACTGCGTGGAGACAATGCTGGCATTTTCAGCTGTGCCACAGCTGCTGAGCCGGGGCACACTATCAGGGGAGAAATCATACTGGTGGGCAGCCGCCATTTGCTGTTGGTGCACCCAGGTCTGTGTGGAGTAGCCACTCTGTCCATAAGTGGGCTTCCTCTGTTGGCCGGGCAGCTGCTGGGGCTCCTGGCCTCTGAAGGACTGATAATTGAGCAGGTCTGTGCTAAGGCCCAGGTCAGGGCCAAGGCTGCCAGGCGTATCTTCACCGGTGTTGCTGCCAAAGCCATCGGACAGGAGGGAGTTCTGGCTGCTCTTATGACAGATGAAAGTGCCAAGGTGGCCTGAGGGCTGCCCCTCAGAGGAGGACAGTGTCCCGAGGCTGTCTACACTGTGCAGATCATGGTTGGGCATCTCATCATCCAGGATGTCTGTTTCCCGGTCTCTCAGCTTGGCATCCCCATTGACATGGACCTGGGCGGGCACAATGTGGCATGTTCCACTGCACTTGCTCTGAGCATCACTCATGTCCTTGAACGAGCTCCCAGGCTCGTCCAGGCCAAAGCCGCTGAGCAGCTGGTCCAGCTCAGCCTTCTCCTGGGGGCTGAGCCCTCTCTTTGCACCAGGAAGCAGGTGTTCTTCAGTCTTGTTGGTCCTGACTGAAGCGCTGGAGTGGCCCGAGTCGCTACTGACAGACAGGGTGTGGTTACTGTGGTCTGGATTGTGGGTGGCTGAGACCATCTGGGGGCCACCAGGGACACTGGACTCTGAGGCGCTCTTCTTCCTCACCTTGGCGTAGAGGCTGCCGTCCACAGGCCCCTGCATGTGCAGCACTGTGGGGAGAGAGAAGAGGGCTCAGCACAGTGGGAATGGCTGCCTACAGCCCTGGTGGGCCACATAAACGTAACATGACATCACAAGGTGGCAGCCCTTGGGCACTGTGGGGAGAGAGAAGGCTCAGCATGAGTGGAAGAGCTGCCCACAGCTGGGGTGCAGCAGGGCTGCCCACAGGCCTGGTGGGCCACACACACAGAACATGGCATCAGAAGGTGGCAACCCTTGAGGACTGTGGAGAGAGGGAAGAGGGCTTAACACAGCCGGAAGGGCTGTCCACAGGCCTGGTGTGGAGCGCTGCCCACAGCTCTGGTGGGACACACACATGTGACATGGTATCACAAGCTGGTAAACCTTGGGAGCCCAAAGTGTCACAACCTAGCTTCCTGCCACAGCAAAGCCTCACATGGGAAAAAAGGCAGCATCAGAAGCTACAACTCTTTCTGTCTTTCTGTCCAAGACAGCCCTCACTAAGCATTCTTCTGGAACTCTTCCCACTTGACATGGCCTCCAGATTTCACTAGGGTGCTGAATGCTGACACAATTCACTTAGTCTGCAGAAGTCAGCCATGTGTGTCTGAGGGAGAGTGCCCAGTCACACATTGGTCTAGCATTTCCTGAACGTTCACTATTTGCTGGGTAAGAAATCCTTAATCCTCAGAACATCTGATTAATAAACCTGTGATTCTTTCAGAAATCTAGAATCCACTGCATTTCCCCCCCTAAAAGAGTCTAGTCTTTCATTTAGCAAATCAGTTGTAAACATCTGCAGTAAAGATGTTTTTGTTTCATTTTTTTACATTTTCTTTTTCTTAAATATAGGCACTTCCACTCAGCCATGCACCCATGGGCCACAGGCTGCCATGAAACCAGGCAGGACCACCAGGTACTTGGGGCTGGTTTCATGCCATGATCTTGATCTGGAATGTCACAAAAATAAAGTATAAAAAAAAATAAAACAAATAAAAAAAGTATAGGCCTAAAATGTGGGTGGAAAAAGCTGACAGCTCTGTTACTATTATTAATCACATAATCACATGCTGACATGGTCCACAGCAACTCCTCATGCCATAAACTGCTGACCTCCAACATTCAAAAATCGTCGGTCATTTAACTCAACCTCCACCCAGCGTCTCTGCTGTTGTTTCCTGAGGAGGTCCATCCCAGCCTGCAGTCTCCCTCGGCTTTTCTGCTTTGTCCACTGTGACTGGCAGGGTCACCCCACCAAGCAGTCCACTTGGCTACCCTACTTTGTCCACTGTGACCAGCTGCGTCACCCCACAGGCAGTCCACCCAGGAATGTACCCTCGGCCTCCAGTCCCCCTGGCCACTCTGCTTTGTCCTCTGGAAAGGATTAGCTCACCCCCCAAGCAGCTGCCAATGGCCTGCAGCCCATGGTGCAGGCAGTGGGTCTTGGACGCAGGAGCCCCACATTCCATGGCTGAGCCTGTCTTTGGAGCTGTCCAGGAGGCCCTGCCTTGGATGTATGCCTCAGGGACAGAAAGTGGAAACATAACTACAGTTCCTACCCACAAGTCATGGTTCTCCCCCTGTGGTCCACACAGTAGCGTGAACAGTTAAAGTGCCTGGTTGCTAAAAGAAAGATGGAAGGA